TGTAAATAGTTAACTGGGATGCACAAATGGGTTCATTGATGTTTTAACAAGGCTACTTGTTATAGGTAAAATATACAAGTAGATGTACTATTATTATTATATCTATTTTAGACTTTGCCTTCCCAGTTTGGAACTTGGTACGCCCATTAGGGGGCAGAACTGGGTGAGGAGACGCACACGAGTTTAATCTGCGTTTTGGCAGAATTTACTCTCTATGTTCTCTCTGCTTAATATTTGGAGGTACTAAGCACAGTAAAAGAAACTCTTGAATTAATCTTAGTTAATGCCTATTGAATTTGTAACTAAACATTTATACAAAAACTAAATTTATTAATAATATGCATTAAAGATCAATCACATTCAAGGCGAAAAAAAATTACAAACACGATGTACTGAGTTTGTGGACTTCAATAATGTACAAGAGTGTAAATTATAAGTTACAAAGTTACGTACAAGGTTAATGTAAATTGACACTTAGTCAGAGCAATTTATATGGTACTTGTGGTTTTCATACCACTTCTGTCAAGTCTTTAATTAAAGTTATTAAGTACAAGGAGATATAAGAGTTAATTGTTTAAAATTTAACAGAAATTTACTTAGTATAGGTTTTAAAAAAGAATCACAGAAAATGACAGTAATTTGTCTTACAAGAAAGATAAATGAAAATGTAGTAAGTAGAAAAGGGATTATAACGACGCTGGAAAGCAATCTCGTCATATCTCGAAAAATTGTGAAAATGAGTTTTTATAAATTTGGAATCAAACAAAAAATCCGCATTTTTAGAAGTTGTGATGCTATGACCATGTTTTTTGTTATATGACGTCAATTAGGTTGCTTCAAAGCATAGTTACATTAAACAATAATTTTGAATATAACGGGCTGTTAGATTTTATTTATTCATATTTTTTCTAATATAGCATTCACAACAAAATTATATTAAAACCGAATCAAGTAGCAAGTGTGATGTGCAAGCTAGCCATAGAATATGTATTATTTATCTCTCACATCAACTAAACAATCATCACAATAGCAAAAGTCATCCTCGTTCTGCTCCTTCTTCTTTTTGCTTCGCCATCGCTTCAATCTCCACCAATCCTTCAGCCACTGCCACTCCATAACCACAATTTGCACTAAATACTTCACTGATTGAACTGTTTAATACACTGATTAACATGAAAAACAAATAAAATTGCTGAAAAAACTTTGAGATGTCATATGATAACTATATCAATGGTTTGCAAACAAATGATTGGTCTAGATTACCATACCCACTCAAGATAGTAGAGATAAAATGACACAAAACAGAACACATTACCTCACTTGTCATTGTCAGTGTGAACATTTGACGCTATAAATAAGTCTATTATACATAGACTGCCTACATTACTCTATATGAATATGTAAACAAGCTGAAGTGTGGACAGTTTGCTATGGAGTTCTCCAAGATACAGAACTGTGGGCATATCTTATTAATTTATAAACTTAAATATTGTAATTCTCATTATCAGTGCATGTTTAGGAAGTGAGATAGAAGTGAACTTGTGGATTATTTCAGTGTTAATAAAAGATAAGCAGTGTTTAAACATCAGTGTTTACCTTTGTTTTTGTTAGTGTTCAGTGGTACCAGTGTTTAATATTTATTTTAAAATGGTATTATAATGGATTTTGACAAAATTAATCAAAAACTGCTTATGATTTTAAGACCCACAAATTCTACGGATTTTAAAAAGTTTTTTCAGCTTTGAGTGCAATATTTTGTATTCATGTGTCATTTAAAGATATTTTGTTATATGATTACATAGCTACTACAAAACTATTAAAAAAACCATCTTCAACCATGCTGTGTTCAAATGGGGCTTAAAATTAAGGAAATGTCTACAAATTAATATTATTATCTATATTAAGGGTAGGCTACGTCTACTATAGTGTTGTTGACTTACGGGTGACCTTAGCTGGACCAAATCGCCATCATCTCCGACGTAAAACTGTGGTTGTGTAGCTTGACGCAACCCCTGATATCCATGTTCAAGCTCAGTGTATGACATTCCCTACATAGACCTAGTGATATTTGATAATGTCCAATATCGCTCATTCAGGCACATAAAGCAAAGTTCTCGTGATTTACAATAAAGTTAAAACACTAAAATAAATACAAAAATATTTCAATTATAATGACAGCTGTGATTGACAGGTAAAGGAGCCGTTCGATTCATTCATTCAGGTACAGTTTCAGAGAAGTTACTAAAAAACAATACCTACACTATAGAAATGTTAAATAGGTTGCTAGAGTAGAATCACACGTACACGTATGCATTTCGGGAGATGTAGTGTTAGAGCATGGAGAAATTTCCATTTTGAAAAAAAAAAACATTATTCAGAAGAATAAATATTTTTCCGGGATATTTTTTCTATATTTTTCCATATTTGACGTTGACATCTGTCAGAAGTTGAAGTTACTGAACGAAAACGATGGAGCCATTTATGGGCGCGTTCCGGCGCGTTGTCATTACGTCGTGATGAGAGATAATTGTGAAGTTTAAAGAGTCTAGGCTTATATATTTCAATGAAGTTGTTCACACAACACGATTAACTGTCTTTCAGGACTTTTTGACGTTACGACGACTCGATTTTTTCGTTTTGACAATTTTGTTTTTAAATCACGTTAAATTAAAGGATATTTCTAAACGAAGAACATAATATGAACCTTCTAAGGGATTCGCTCTGGGCCTTTAGGAGGGAAAACTGTAGTTTTTATTTTGACTTTCAATTATTTTGTGAAATATAGTTTAAAGTGGAATAGAATAGTGCTATTGTGCCTTAATCGAAGATTAAAACGCGAAATTATACGAATCTCGAACAAAAATACCCGTATCGGCCCGTTCTAAGGAATCCCGAGTTAATCCAAACACGCCGCCTCAAATTGCCTATTCTCTTTGTGGCGGCCATATTTACAGAAACATAATTAAACGAAGACACGGCTCAAAGGACTTGTATCCGAGCCAATATTATTATAAATAAGTAATGATTAATGATGTAATTTTTCCAATGTTATTCAATTTTTCAGAAATATTTCCAAATAAAATTTCCCATAATTGAAATTTTTTGGAAAATTACTGTTACTTTTTGCTCCGGATGGACAAAAATCAAAAGTCGCAGTAATTTTTTAAGCTTTTATCTTTTTTCAGGATTTCTTGTGAGCGAGCATTGAGTGAGTTACTGTACTGATTGATTGATGAACCAATAGTTCGCGATGAATTGAATTTTGCTGGGATCAGTTGTGATTTCTGGGCTTTGTTTGATCTTGCTTTATTAAATTAAAATTAGGCTGTTTATATCACGAACGTCGAATGATTACAAACAAGTACAATGCCAATTTCTAGACAAGAAGTGCTTAGATTGTACAAGAACCTTATAATTTATTCCAAGAAATTGACATTGACTGATTCTACTTACTTTATGAGAAAAGTTAACACCGAATTTAGAAGAAATAAAAAACTTACTGCGCCTGAAGATATAACTTTTGCCTATAAAGTACGTGTTAGTAAACATGGTAGTGTCGTTAAAAAGTTACCTACATAGAAACTGCTCGAGGTTATCAAATGACGGTACAATCTAACCTTCAGATTTTTAATCGACTTGAAAAAAGGGGCAGGTTCTTAATTCGTCTGTGTATTTTTGTGTGTATGTTACGCAATTACTCTGATTTTTTATTGTTGGAATGGGGGTACTTGTACCAGTAGTGCTGTCATTTAAATAAAAGAAAATATTCCATCTCTATACGTGGTAATTAGAGTATCCGGTTTATTGAATTTCATCCACTTTCCGTTAACCGATCTCAAGGAAACACGACATCTATATACGTAATTCCAATGAAAATAAAACATCAAAAATGGATCTGTAAACTGTTGAGGTCGGTTTCTATAAGTTATTTATTTAATTATTACTTACAATTGTTCTTTTTCCATTTCAGAAAGGAGAGTCACTGTTACGTAGAAGCAGTGTAGTGTAACAATGATTTTACGTACAACACTTCGTCTTCAAAGTATTATTCCTCTCCATACTGTAGTGGCTGGTAAACACACCATAGATTTTTCCAAAGTGCCTAAGCTTAATGAGTGCGATCTCACTGAGCAGTTTGTAAGAGGTGGTGGGCCAGGTGGTTCTGCTGTCAATAAAAATTCCAATTGTGTGGTGCTTACCCATGTGCCTACAGGTAAAATATTTTGTAGATATACAGCAGTCATTATGAAAACTCTTTTTATTATTTTCAGTTATGCATTATCTATAGCATTATAGTCCATTTGTTTAGGTACTTAGTAAATGTAAACAATATTGATACATCTTATTGAAACATATGCTTTACAAATTAATAGGCCTAAAAATAGGCATGCAATTTCATATGAAGCTAAGTATTCGTATTTTGTGTTTGAAGGTAAGTAAAAATCATTTTGTAAATGTATATTTCATTAAATAGACATCTCAATATTGTTTACATTTAATTAAATACCTGAACAAATGGACTATTATAAGTGAATCATTTATAAAAACAACAGTTGGTTTAATAAATATGCAGAACATTTAAAATTGTATTTAAGTACAGCCATAATTTCATCTTTGTACTTTCAACACAATTTAAACATTTCTATCTTCTCAATAAATTTCAGGTACTATAGTCAAATGCCACTTAAGCAGATGCCAAGATGAAAATAGGCAATTAGCAAGACAAATGTTAATAGACAGATTAGACGAAAAACTAAATGGAGAAGAGAGTGTTTTAGCACAAAAGAAGAGATTGGAAGAGAAAAAGTACAAAAGAACAGAATATAAAAAGAAGAAAGTGGCCAAAATGAAAGAGGAGTGGAAGAAACGCGAAGGCTTAACATAGACAATAAATAAATAAGTAGTTGTATAAAAATACTGTAATTAATTTTAGTCTAAGAGCAACAGTTGAGTTCATGGAGTTCATTGCGTTTACTTGGCCTCTCGGTGTTAGTAATCCTTTTTAAATTTTTTTTTAATGCACACTCCTAGCCCTAGCACTAGGAAAGCTCTGTATCGCGGGTGCTAAGGACACACACATAGACAACCACAAATTACACCCAAACTTGTGAGATAAATAATTACAGGCCATACAAATATTTCTCCCAGCCTGGGAATCGAACCCGGGTAATCTGCGTGGCAGTGCACCTGTAATTGGCTTGAGGATCACAGTTTGTTCTTAGTTTTGTTTGAATAAACACTCCCGGACACATAATTCGAGCCAGCACGCATTTTTAATATTAATTGCCCTAAGCTTAAACAATGTTTCGTTGATCAAAAACTATTATGCAATTTTGAAACTACTATACTAAACGTCTTTTCTGTAAGTCCTTGTTGGGAATTTATTGCAATGATTTGCAAAACCGGGGAAAAAATTTTCTTCGATAATAACACTGTTTTTGTATTCTAGCCATCTACGACAAAAATGCGAGGTGGCTCGAATTACGTATCCGGGAGTATATTATAACACATTCTGTTGTTGTGAGAATAAATAAACAAGTTGACTGAGCATTAGGCTGGTAACAGACTGACTGCATGTTTGCAGTTAAAACAATAAAATTAAACTTCATGCAGACGGTACCTCCACTGCATGAAGTTGATAACGACTTCACGCATTAACTGCATGCAGCTGAGACTTCAACTTCAAACGTCGATGTGATCGAAAATCCAAGAATTAAAAGTATTTCCGGACATTCAAGAATATAGTAATTATTTTGTTGCGTCTGAAACAACTTTTTTGTTAGTAAAGGCAAAAGGTAATGATTATTTCATGAATCGACATAATGGTAAAACAAAACACGATTGGTGAAACATCTCTCAACTGATTTATTTTTCACAGATGGCCTTTCTGAAACAGATTCAAGTAGTTTAGTAATAAATAAAATAAATTGCCGAATGTAAAAGGAATTTCTAGTTAACTTTTATTAAATTCGGTAGACAATTATGGAACCTACAGACTGTAAATAGGATTTTTTAATGAGATAGTTTTCAAGGAAAATGAGATTTCGTTCCATGTCGTCGCAATGTAATGCTCCCCGATGTTTATCTCTTTCCACCATTCAAGTGGGAAATTACCGCTATCACGTTTTGCAATTTGCATTTCTGGCTAGTAGATCGATATCTTCCTTGACGGGAGGGTGTGTTCCCTAAAATTACGTAAAACAATGATTGTGTTAACCAATTAGTTTACGTAATATGTACTCTATTATATTTTCCGTCTTAAATACTTCTTCTAAGGGCCAACTCACACTGACGCAGAGTCGAAGCGTCGCGTCGCGTCCTGTTTTTCAACTGCAACGCATGGCGACACGCGTCGTCGCGGGAAAACGCTCGCATTAGCGCGCCCGGATCACAGTGTGGTCGGCGTCTAACGCGTCACTGCGCGCAAGGAAAGCACGACGTCGCGCCAAGCCGCTCGATTTTAACCAAGGGTCGCTCGGCGCGCGACGACGCGTGGTTCCATATTTGCATGACATAAATTTGTACCTTAATAGTGGGAAAATGGAGATGAATATGCTATAGGCGATAAACATGACGCGTCGCGATGCTTCGACTCTGCGCCAGTGTGAGTTGAGCCATAATCTTCTCTATGGCAACATAATAATAGTGGATCTATTCACGCTGGACCGTTCGTTTATAACGGACTTGAAAAAGGAGGAGGTTGTCAATTCGACCATATTTTTTGTGTGTATGTTACGTAACTACTCACTGCATTTGTGAACCGAATTTGATGATTATTTTTTTGTTGGAATGAGAGTACCTCACTATTGGTCCCATTTAGATTTGAAGAAAATATTCCACCTCAGGGTGGTAAACTAGGGGAAGAACCCAGTTTCGCGCATGTTTCGGTAACCGATTTAATTAAACCTGGCAAATAGATGTAATTTCACGAATTTTTGAGGTCGGGGTTGTTTTTTTAATAATTGGTTTTGATAACACCCGCGGCGGCGTAAGAATAGTTAGTAACAGAAGTGGCATCTGTGCTTCCATCTCGACGTCAACTTTTACACTGAGCTCCTGAGCTAGGCGTGCGACGATAACTGCATACAGTCGATCTCGACTGCATGCAGTTGGTTTCGTCTGCATGGAATTGTATTATACGGACTTGCGCATTCAGTTCGTTTAGTAGCAGCCCAGAAATTTGATTCGGTATATAATTATAGATTTAACTATTGAGATCTCTTTTCCCCAGCTGACAAATAATTGTGCACTTACCTATTATGTATTATATATTCCAGGGACATACTGCCACCTTGCCTATTTGTGTCGCCAAGCAGTAATGTTAGCATTATTGCGTTCCGGTTTTTGAAGGGTAAGGGGTGCTGGTGATATTCTTCCGTGTCTACACGGGACTTGTCAAGTTATGTCTCAGGGTGACGGGCGCAGTGGCAATTCCGTTCAGATCTTTGCGATTTAAAGCTCTGAGTGGCACACTACAACTGGGGCCTTATCATCAGCTTTTATTGCGATTCAGTTTAGGACCTAAAATGATTCGTTGTGAGTCAGGGCTACATGAAGTGTATATCCCGCTTTTTATCGTTACGAACCTATTTTGAACTGTAATAAGAGTTCATGGTAAGGCCTTGTTATGGACATGCATGTCGTTTACTACCAATCGCATGACTCGTTCGTCCCGTCACTTGATATTATAAAAAATATGTATGATGTATGAAGTTGTACGTCCATTGTAATCAAGTAGTAGTAGTGAAATTTTTCGTTATCGGGACAGGCTAAGGCGTCTAATTAACGATCTTATATTTAAAATTTTCTTGAATAATTTAATTTTCTGATATTTTTCGTGGGAAATCGTTACGTCTTTACGGTGGTTATTTCGACATTCCGAATCTAATATTAATAAAATAATTCCTGTACCATGGTTTTGTGGTAGTGGGTTTATAATTGGAAATTATTTTATGCACGTGAGTTAAGTTAAAAAAAAACCGGTTCTCTATTTCCTCTACACATATTCTTTTTTGTTCTAAATAGCATTTTCAATTACTTTTTAAATTAATTCAATTAGAACTTGTTTGTAAATGATTATTTAAGTAAAATTGTCTCCACCAACACTAATAGATCATTATGTAAATATGTGCTGCCTTATCTGCGGTACACAAATATGTACCTATTTAGTATGTATGTACATATGTACATTTATAGAACATATGGAGAGATTTCTCAGTAATTGGTATGTTTGCTTAAAACCTAAACAACCACATTATGGGTAAAACTACCATTGCGAATTATTATTTACCATTACTAACATAGTCGTTGTTCTATTCATTGTATGATTTGATATAGTTTTATTTATTATTGAGGTTTGGCTACAAGACAAAGAAGCTTGAAACTAAATATATATAACTATTATTTTTTTTATTAAAAAAACTACATCAAACATTTGCTTATGGTAATATTCATTACCACGATCTCCTCAACGATAATCCTCGTCAAAATTGTTAGCGAATCGTGACATAAATTTATTTTATTTTGTTAGAAAACTTACCTTGCTTCAATTAGAATTAGTTTTGTCGAAATAATAAATAAATCGATATGGTCATCATCGAATCAACGGAACGCTATCGGGCGGCCACCATTACGAAAAACATCTAGAAAAGACGTTTTTTTGTTTTGTATCGATCTTGTAATATATTGTATTTATTATAATATAATATATTATTAATATATTATAACAGTCACTGGAGTCTCATTTCTGTATCTAGGTACTAGTAAATCTCACAAAATGAATGATGTGAGTGCACACATGAGGTAGCTGATGTACCTATACTGTTGAGGAGTTCCTCTCATCTGTCTGCCATTTCCATCATCAGATCAGCTGTAGGCCACCAAAACATTTTATTTTCATTGAAATTACATGTGTGCCAAGTGTTATTGACATCGGTTAAAGAAAAGTGGACAAAACAACAAACAACAAACAACAAAGTGGACTCATCCCCTAGTTTGCCATCCTAAAAGTGGAATATTTTCTTCAAATCATTCTATGTAGCATGGGCAGTAAAAATTAAAGCCCTCAGATTTCGGCTTCGTGTTTCTAACAAACTCTCGTTAGTAATTTCTTATATATCGGCCTTAAAACACAATGTATTATTAAGAATTTTTGTAAGAGGTACCTAAAGTCTATTTTGTAAACTGGAATAATTTAAAGTTGGATTCCCTATAACAAAGAGAAATATCCGAGCACCAATTAGCTCCGGAATCCCTGAAATATTAACATTTGATGTATTAAACTATCAGCTTAAAGCCCGTAATCTCGCAAAATTTCCCGGTAGCTGTGCTGTGAAGCAAAGACCACCTTTGTTCTTACATTCGTTTAAGGGTGAGGCCATACAAGCGTAATTTTGTGACTTATTTACTTAGAGGATGGAAAAAAAAGTTTCCATAGTCTAAGGTTATTTGAGTCTCATAGTTTACGTTCGACTGAAATTTGGTTGGGGCACCAGACGAACGTATATTATTCAGTTGTTTTTAAGCGTTAGTACGGATGTGTGTGTCATATAGTGCAATAATAAAGTATTGTCCATTTATGAAGCGTGAATGCTAGAAAAAGAAGCTACCTACATCCACTCATTACGGAAAGATGGAAGTGTCGGCACTTATATGAAAGTTTATGTGTTATCAATGTGTAAAGTACGTTTTAATATGTATAAGTAAGTTTTGATATCTTTCCAATACAGTCTGATTTCGGAAAGGAGAGTGGGCACTTCATTGACGCATAGCGATTTTTCAACTGCGTTGGACTTTTTCTGATTTATGTAATAAGTTAATTAAATCCTGCATCCAGGTAAGTTATATTTCTTATATATTATATATTTCTAATTGTGAGGATCTGTAATTAGCTCTCAGTTG